ATGGAAAGGTAAAATGCACATTAAACTTGTTTACAAAGTATAAAATCTATTTTTTTTCTCATGTTACCACTAAAATTACTTGGACCGAAACATAATGTTAATGGGAAATAAAAATGCAGTGAAACAAAATTTATTACTTGAATTTCCATGTTAAAATATCACTAAAATTCTTTGTTTAAAATAATGTTATTTTGAATACTGTGTTTTCTATAGGTGTGTATAAAGTGGCATCACACAATAGAGCATACAATAACCATTGTAGTCAATAGATCTACAGGCTATTGGGCCTATTTGTAAGACCTAGATTATTGTACTGTACTGTATTTACAATACATCGAATGTTTGTAGGTTCTAAAATAACAATATGGAACATGACTACCGGGAATTAACGTGTAGATCTTGGCTGACTTCGCAGAATTATTCTTTCAAATTTAATGTAGGATCTTTAAAGTGGATTTAAAGATTATCTTTTTTTGTTAGAATCCACTGAACTGTAAATAAATTAATTATTTTTAATGATAATAACCATGAAACACCTCCATATTAATTAAGACGATAAAGAAATCTGATGCAGATTACCTGCAAAGTTAAATTGATGATAGTTACTTTTTGCTCATATACTCGACATATTCCACGATTAATTTAATTTGTGGTCAAAAGATAATTAACAAAGGATTAATTTATCTTTCGGTTACCAACGTTTTTCTAAACTGTTTTTTTTAATTACAACTAGGCCCCTCATTGATTTACTTATACTGTGACTACTAAGTTGAAATACCGAGGAGGCCCCTTCAAAAATAAAAAGAGAAAACCCGTTTAACTGAGGCCCTAATTTATCTAGCACTCTTTAAATGTGAGGGCCTCACAGTTACGGAGGCCTCGAAAATATTTATTACAGTTGACCCCCTCCTNTTTAACAATGAAATATTTTTAAAAAAATTACTTGGTAAGCGAACCAATGGCAGAGTTCGTTTCATACCAAACGGACTCTGTCATTGGTTCGTTTACCTCGTAGACTTGTCATATATCTACCCACTGTATGCATGAGACTCTTATATCGCCATCTGGTGTTGATAATTTCAATTAAAATTTAATAGTTTGCTGTTACATTTTGAGTGGTTATATTTGGTTAGAACATGTGCTTGAAGTGTCAGTCTATTTTCGGAATGATGTATCTATGCACAGGAACACTGCCATTTGGTTGCATTACTGTATTATTGCAAATGTTCCAATTTGTGTGTTTACTATTTGTCTCTACTTACGGTATACATAATTTTAAAGCAGATTTATTTTCTTACTGGATGTACAATATGTGATATTTTTTCTAAAAGTATGTTTTCTAACAATGTAAAAAATAGAATTGTAAATTAAGACATTTCTTAAGCATCAATTTTTGAAAATTTTAAATAGAAGATTTATTATCTTAGTACTTTCAGGTTCTTATAATTCATCTTCAAGGATATTAACAAATTAAAAAGACATTTTTATTCAAAATGAAAGTGTTAGGATCATAAAGTTATAAACACTAGAAAAACAGTGTTGGGTGAGTAACATAGATCGTTTAAATTAGTCAGAATTTGACTAAAATAAAAGTTGAAGAGATTAGAGAAAGCTTGAGCTTTAGAAAGTTTGCTAGAGGAAATCAGTGGAATAAGATTATGATAGTTCAATCATGCAAAAGAATGGAGGAAAAAGACTTCCAAGACAAACATATGAGAGAAAAGTAATAGGTAAATGTCTGAGAGAAAGATCAAGAAAAGGTTGGAGAAAGGTGATTGAGCAAGGTATACACAAAAGAAGTATTAAATTTAAGGCAGTATGGGGGAGAAAAATAGAAGAAAAAAAAGATGTAGCAATTGCCAGATTTATCTGATCATTTATACTCTCTTTCATCCTGAGACTATGGAAGAAAAAGCAGCAGCATTTGACTAACATAAATATTATATTTTAACTTCTATTTTTAGTATTAGAAATTAGGCTTTTACAAAACATGCAATTGCCTTCTATTTCTACAGTCTAAAAAGTCTGTATATTATATTATTTTTAATTAATAATTTCTTATCATTATATCAATATTTNATTAGGGCGCTATACTATGAATCATATAAATTAAATCTAAATAAAACTTTTAAAAATGCGACTGTTTTTTTTTTGCATTTACTCATAAATACATAAAATAAAAGTTTCTTTATTTATCTATATAAAGTAACAGGAGAAAATTAGTACTTATAGTTCGTTCACCTTGTATTACAAATGAACGTTTATAAAATCGATCATTAATGGGAGAAAAATCATATGTAGACAACAATTTTTCTTGGAAAAATTATTTCCTGATAATGTTTATAGTCCTACAGAATAAATTGATTTCAAAAATGGAGGTCTACTCCAGGAATTCTTAATTAAAATTGGATAGATTTGAAATTTTGGAAGAAGCTCAACATTGCACACACAAGTTGAACCTATAAATTATTTCTAAGAATGTTTATAGCCCCATTGAATAGATTAATTGCTAGCAAGATGCTTTGCTGGGGTCTATTTCCTTAAAAATATTTGGATGCATTTGGAATTTTGGATGAAACTGAACTTTGCTCATGAATCTAACACACACAAATCTTTCTTTCATTAAAGTTTTATAAATTAATAATAAATAATTGGCAATAACCCCATGCAAAAGAATGGAAACTAACTTTGCAAGTTCCTTCCATGCTAGAGAATGGAAATCAAGAACAATATAATAAAAGTTTATAACTTCTGATGGCTTAATATAATAATTTTACATGCAATAAACTTTTCTAGTTCACATTAGAAGCTCTATAATAACAATGTAATCCGCTCCTTTATCATTTATCTCACAATTGAAGACATTTTTATGTCTTCATTTCCGGGGTAGAAGGATCAATCAATATGAAATTTTCTACATAATGCAATAAAAGGAATCACTAGAAATAGAACTTTTTATTTTTATTTTTGGAAAAACTTTGCACTTTGGATAAATAAGATTTAATGACTTTACCTTTTAAATATCATTAAAACTTATTTAAAATGCAAATTTATTTTTAATAGATTGCAATATGTGATTTAGAAATAGCGTGGTTGTAAACGAATCAATCAATTCCGGGTTATGTAGGCGAATAGTTAAAAAAAGTGGTGTTTATATGTACCAGTCTGTGTTGAACGATAACATTAATAGGAAGGAAAAATAAATGAAATTCACCTCAAAAGCATATTGTTTAATTTTATCATCAATCATACCCCATAAAAGTAGAATTACTTTAGCCATAATTCAAAAATTTGTCAGGTTTTGCAGACTTTTCTATGGATATATTTAGTAAGTATTTATTAAAAAAAATTATATAAATTTTTCTTTGTAGTTGCACTGTAGATTTCAATTATTAATCATGTTAAAGGCAATTCTCAATTGAGCTAACTTGATTGTTGATGATCCAAAATCTTTTGAAAATTAAGAAGAGAAATGTAAACAATGACATAAATTTTAAATTTCTATCTGTACAATTTCAATTTAAAATGTGTTTTGTTTAATATTTTAAGCTAGCTGGTTGCGGATTTGTGTTTGACTAACAGGCTGGCTATATGGAATTTTATGTTTTTCATGTATTTAATACATAACAGGTGTCTGTTTCTCATAGAAAGTTCTTCCAGGAGGCATTCCCCCTGGAATAATGCCCATGTTACATTGCCTTATCCCATCAATCTAGTCCAAAAAGTATTTTTGCAAAATATCATGATATGTATTGAAAAATAAGTTGTGAATCAACTATTAATATTTATAAAATTTGGCACAAAATTAACTTTATTTAAAAAACTTATTAAACAGGTTTGATTTTCAACTTTTAGGGCAACTTTTAGTATTAAAATTTTGAAAATAAATTGACTTGTATTCATGGAAATAAATTATATAAATACTTACAAAAGTAAGCCCATGAAAATGTTTATATTTTCAAAGTTGTTGTTAATATGTTAATTAATAATTAAGTTCTTATTTATTAGAATGCTAAATGAGGTTTATTTTCTTATAAATTTCTCTATTTTGGTTCAAGTTATAAATAATCCATGTTTTGTATGTAAATGTGTTTTAGTTTACATGAGAAATATTGTTATGGTTATCATGAAAGTAGAGTTAATTATTATTATTATTATTATTATTTTGTAATAATAATAATAAATAATGTATAAATGATAATTTAGCTTGGTATGTGTTAGGAATGATTACTTGTTTACACTTACATATTAAGCACCATGCTTTGTATGCTGTTTGTATTATATCTTAAGTTATACTAATGACCTGTTTTTCTTTTATTTTCATGTAAATTATAATGAAAAAAAAAACAAAATTATTGGTAGTGCAAGTCATGCAGTTTTTGAATTAACTAATAAGAGAAGAAAATAAATATATAATATAATATTAAGTATTTATATATTATATTATTGTGTAAGATGAAGGAAGGCCGTTATTAAATAGTGGTTTTCGCTGTCTATCATCATAATAGCAATATATTAGTTTTTCAAATGAGCTAATATGATTGTCTAGTTGTTGATGATTTAAATTATCATCAGAAAATTATCTTTCTCCATCTTAAATGGCTGAATCTTGTTGAAATTCTATGCACTGTTTAAAAAGAATATTTTCATTAATTTAATTTGAATTAAAGATAAATATGACCGTATCTATTTTCTGTTTCGATAAATTATATTATAAAATGTTTCTAATTTGCGAAAATTATTGTTAAAATATAATTAATGATAAAGATCACTAGATGTTGGCAAATTATATTAATTCAGATAAAGCAAAAACTAACATTATTGCACCATAAGCCATAAATTATAATTTGACATAAACTATTGTTTTTTTTTTTTACTTGTAAATAATATTTTTTATTTTAGTTTATTAGCACAAACATCTTACTTTAATATTGTTTTTGCTTTACAGATTTTCTTCCCAAATTTTCAAAATAAATAAATCTGAAATGTAAAAAGTAAAAATGCCTGGAACATATAGATATTCTGCAACATTTGACAGAACATATGAAGAAGAGACTCCTCCTTCGTCGGATTCTCGATCACGACCAAAGACAAGGCAACCATCCTACGGACGTTCGCTGAGCGATTATGGCTGTCATCGCCGTTCGACGTCTACCGACAGTCTCGATAGCATGTGTGGAAGCAGCAGTAGTAGTACCAGTCATTCGAGACAAGTGTCGGGAGATAGCACTGAATATATTCCAACAAGAAGGCTAAGTAAAGCGAGTGCAAAACCAGCTCATAACCCTTTACAGTTTGTTAAAATAAGTCAAATTCCATTATATAGGCAGGTAAATATAATATAATATAATATATTTTAGTTTTAGGTAAACATTTACCTAATTTTAAAAAGCATAAAAAAATAATCACAAAATAGTTACTTTATATGTGTATAAAAAAAACAGTTATTAATATTTTAATTTTATTGGAAATTATCATAATTTAATAGAAGAATTTATTATTTTTCCTTGTGCTGTAATAATAATACTCACAATGTTGATAAACAATACAGTGTATACTTTTATTAATATTAACCAAAATTAATAATTTCTTAAACAAATGAAATTTTGTAAGTGATTGAAATGTTTTATAAAATCTTTGGTTCTTAAATCAAGAGAGAAAAAGTTTTTCATCGTAAATTTACCATCCAAAAATCAGAAAATCAAAATGAATTTATTAAATATTCAATAAACTTCAATTTATAATTAAATTATCTAATTAATCCAAGAATATGTAAAATATTTTCAATTCATATTTCTAGAAAGTATAAGGTGATTTATTCAGTGGTGGATTAAGCACTTGCAGGGCTCCAAGTGCAACCTATTTTTGAAACACCTTGTACTAAATACTAAGTAATGCTATCAAATCAATGTATTATTTAATAAAAAAAAATCCCGATCAGTCAATTGTTTTCTTAAAAATAAATCTCTAAATGTGTAGATGAAGTTGGTATCTGTGCCTGAGATTTGTAGAATGTATCTGTTTTTAAACTGCTAACTTTTAGAGGCCCCAACCATATGCTTCTTGTGCCTGTACGATGATCCACCAGCGGATTTATCTTCTGTTTAGTTACAAAAATAAATTATATATTTGTTTGATGGCATAATTTTTATAACTTTATTTTGATAAATAAAGTTATAAGATTTGTTCTAGAGTAATCAGCATATTTTTCTAAAACATCTATTGATCTTTCTCAATAATTTTATATTTAACATGCAATGACTTTTCAAAATATGTTTTTGTTTGCATGGTACATGTAAATAATTGCTGTAGTAATAATAATATAAAATAAGTATGCTTACATGTGTTTAATAATGTCATATTTTATTATTGTTTAATAACATTTAATAAATATATTAAAAATAGTTTATATAATTTTATGATTTAGTTTATTTTATTATAATAAAATTAATCATACAAATTATATAATAANCAGTGTGTTCTTGCTAACTCCCAAACAAAAAATGTCTGAAGTTGACACTGTACGTGGGGGCCCCTTTCATTCAAATTTGCCTGGGCCCCACGAAACTATAATGCACCACTGCCTACGTGCAATAAATATGATAATGCAGAAATAATATCTTAGACTTATCTGTTTCTAATAGGAATTTTTAAATATTAAATGTTAAAGTTTAAATAAATAAATCAGATAAGAAAAACATTGTATAATTATTGTATGTAATGTTCCATAAACAGTTTAAAATTTAAAATTAAGTATTTTTTTATATGTTGTATTATTTGGAATATAATTAGAATCATGATATAAAAGTACAACTAATATTTAATTTCTGTAAAAAATAATTCAAAAAATAATCTTATTTACAGTGACAAAGCATATTTATTAATGTGCATTGTATTGTGTTAAATAAATTATTATTCATCAAACCTTTTAATTTTATCTATTCAAATAGTCATATTAAAATACAATGATGCATATGGATAACATAGAAAACTTTAAATAAAAATTAAGTGTTAAATTATTATGATGAAAATGTTTAGTTGATTGTCAATTTATTTAATTTTTTTTAGCAACAAGAACAGAAGAAAACAGAAACAAAAGTAGTGAAAGAAAAAGTAAAAGAAGAAGAAGAAGAATGGCAATCTGTAAGTAAAATAAAAAATATTTATTCAATTTAATATATTGGAACATGAAACTGTTTTCTGTATGAAACTTAAAACTTCTTCTTTAATAATAATGACTTTTAGCTTGGAGAAATGCCAATATATCTGATCCCATGGGAAACATCTGTAAAATTCAGATTGGCAATTTTATTTATTTACTTTTTATCTTGCATTCCAGTCCTTAAAAGTTTTCTCTGCTGATCATTTTACATAAGAAAATTAAATAGGAAAATCTAGAAAAAGAAATATTATAAATGATGATAAGTATAAGTTAAAAAATAGATAATTTTTTCAGTTAAATCAATGAGATTCTACAGCAGATTCAAGCTTTTTTTTTGTTAGAGTTTGACTTTAAAAAGTCAATCAATATGCACTTATATATATTTAATTTTAAAAATAAAATTTTATGCATTCAACTACTCAAAACTGGGAATACATTAATAAACACTGCTCATATGACCAAAATCCAGCAGGATAAATTACATGAAAGCAAACATTTTCAACTATGTTTAATGGATTTGTAACTTTATGACCAATAGAATGAGTTATTCCACATTGTTTTAATCTATAATATAATTTTATTGAAAAACTGTGAAATCTACTTCTGAATCCAAGCATAACATGTGTTTATGTGAGTCGAGTTTAGTTCATTCATTAATTCCATATACTTATGGTAAAATCTATATCTTATATGTTTTTCACCGTATGCTGTACTGTTAAGAAATCTGCTTTAATCTGATTCAATACAAAATAAATCAAGCATTTTCAGATTAAAAACCTTTCGATCTGAAGATGAAATATTACTAGTCTCAATAAACATATAATCGGCATTGAAACATGGATTTCTTAACAGTATAGTGAATGAAATACAAAATATGGAGTCAGATATCAGTAGATTTATATCTTCTGTAAGTATATAAGTGTTTTAGTATCAAACTTTTTATATAATTTTTACAATAAATTGTCATTGTGTTTAGAAAAAAATAGAAGCTTTATTTGGTTTTTTTTAAGTGATTAACAGAAACTTCATAAATGAAGTTTCTGTTAATCACTTAAAATATCTGCTCATCATATTTACGGAGCATTCCAAACTTTTTCAGTAAAGATTCATTCTCTTCTATAAATTTTTTCTACCAAATATAAAATAATAGTCAACAGAAACTTCATAAATGAATAACAGAAACTTCATAAGTGAATAACAGAAACTTCATAAATGAAGTTTCTGTTAATCACTTAAAAAAATAAAATTAAAATAAATATTATGTAGATTTAAATTAGTAATACAAAGAAACTTCATAAATGAAGTTTCTTTGTATTACTAATTTAAATCTAGATAATATTTATTTTCATTTGCATATATAAACTGAATTCCTATATCCTAGTATTGTTATTAATAGCCATCATATTTTCTGGAATAAAGACACAGGGTGATATTTTTGTCACCATGTCATAAAGTTTGAGGAAGACTGTTTGAGGAATTAAGTTATGAAGATCATAACTTAATTCCTCAAACAGTCTTCAGTATACAACAGGTAATCTCTACATTGTCAAACTCTAATTAAACAATAACATATTTACTCAACATATTTTTACTATAGCTATGTAGCTTTTGCATGTATTTGTGCTGGATATTTTAATTGTAAATGTCTTCTTTTAAACTCCTCTTACTTCCTAATAATTAAAGGCATGCATTCTAATTATATTTTTTAAAATAAGAATATAGTAAAAATCTTTTGAGGCAGAGTGCAAAAAGCACAGGATGGCTTAAATATACAAACTCCCATTCCAGCATAGAATATTTAATCTTATATGCTGAAAATATAGAAACTGCAAAGAACAGTTAATGATTTAATTATATTTTTCAAATATCTTATTATATTTTATTTTTCAAAAACACTTATGAGATTGAAGAAAGTTAAATGATAAAGGAAACATATGAATTATATAAAACTGATTATTATTGAAAAAAAAATAAAGTTGTTTAGTTATTAATAATAATAATAATAATAATAATAATATTAACTTTGGCTGAAAAATAATTCAAAACATAGCAAATGTCAAATATAAAAATATTATATGGCATATCATTTCCTATGGTTTGAGTTTGTGATCTTTTTCAACATAACAATTAAAATTTAAGTTATATAAAATAAAATAAATTTTTGCTTTGAAAACAGCAATATAACAGTTATTTCAACAACTAGCAGACCCCGCCACGTGTTGTTGTGGCTCAAAATATATCTATTATAAATGTATAACACTTCTCCCGTGGGGGGATTTTTCGAAAAATCCCTTAGTATACATTTTCTTGACGTACCTTAAAATGCAAAAAACCACATCTGAAATAGTATAATAGAAGCCAAGTTCTTCACGGTAAGCCTTAATCCTGTCCCTCTCCCCCACGGGGGGATATCGAAAAATCCCTTTGTAGTGTATATTCTGTTGACATATCCTATTAAAATGCAAAAATCTGCATCTAAAATAGTATAAATAGAAGCATAGTTCTTTATGGTAAGCCTTAATCCTGTCCATCTCCCCCCAGTGGGGGGAAATTCGACACGTATATTATATAAAAACACGTGCGTATTGGAATGCAGCGTTGTGTGAAAATTTCAAAGCAATATGTAGGAACAAACGAACATTACATTTTTATTGATATAGACAGATGATGATGTGGTTTATTAGGTCGTCGTACTTCGCAGCGCCATCTTTTGGACATAAGCCGTATATAAGGGGGGGTGTGAATGACGGGGTTTACGAATTATGTGAGAAAGGCGGTGTATTCGCACGCCGGGGAGGGGGTTATACCCCCTCCCCGGGACGTGGGGGTGGGGTCCGGGGAGGGGGTGGGAAACCCCTCCCCGGAAAAAATTTTGAAAATTGACAGTGTGAGGTAGCATTTTTTATGCAAATAAGCAAGCATTTTTACCTGTTGAAAATGAAAATTTAAGTACATCGAATTTCGTGGGAATACCTACATGTATAATGATAGTCTGGCTATTGCTATTTAAACCTAGTTTTACTGTCGAATGCATCAAATTACACAAAACTGCGTAAACACTTACGTAATAACATTTTTAATCAATGCAAGATCTAAATCGTTTGCAAGCGTTCTCTTTTGTTATTTTTCATGGACTTAAGAGCCAAAAATCCATTGCATGAAAATATT